CTGCGGGGGGCGGGACTAGAGGATTTGCGTCACGGATTGGCCCACTTTCCAAGTTGATCGCCTCTTCTAACACCGCCCCCCCACCTCCGCCCAATTTCCGAAGATCCCAGTCCCCAAGCAAAGTTCCGCCCCTTTCCCCACAGGCTCCTCCTTTTCAGCTTTAAGCCAGACTCACTCCCCAAAAGAGGCAGCCCCACGGATACCAAAGCCCCACCCATAGCCATTAAACCCCGCCCACTACCCAGATGGCTCCTCCTCCAGGCCCGAAGGCTCCTCCTTCTTCATATGATGCCCCGCCCCCTATATTCACCCCTCCTTCCCCAACCCCCAACCAACCAAGAGAACCCCGAGGGTGGCAGATCTGGGGGGATGTCTCCACCCTTCCCCGGCTCGCTTCGTCCATCCGTCGGTCTATCCACTCCCGCCCCCTTCCACCGTTACCAATCCCCCCACACTCCGGAGGGCGGGCAGGCAGGCGAGTGCGAGCGAGGGGTGTGCGCTGCTCTCTCGGCAGGGGGCGGGGGAGGCGGCCGCGCGGTGACGCGCGGGGCTGCTGCGGCTGCTCCGCCGGCGGATCATCACTCTCGGGCTGGGATGGACGCGGGGCGGGCGGGCCCTGGCGCGCGGAGCCAGGAGTCCGGGCCTCCTGGCTACTGAGCGTACCTCGAAGCCTCCCCCTTACCCCCACTTTCCCTCCTAGGAGCCGTGCCGACCTCCGCCCCGGGGCTCCAGACTTGGCTCCCGCCCTCCTCTGACTCCTCGGACCTCCCCCTCCCGCCCGCCCTCGGGATCGACTAGATCCCTCCCCCTCCCCTAGGATTCCGGCTGGATCCCTGCCCCTGCACCGCGGATCCTGCGCTCCCGGGCTCCGGGCCCCTGGGGATTGCCGTGGACTCCTCCTCCCGCACCCGATCCCTTAGGATCCTCCGCCTGTACCGCCTACTGGTCCCTCGAAGCCGGCCCACGGAGGCAGTGGATCCCCAACCCAGTGCTGTCCCGTTGCCCCCTCCTCGCCCCACCGTCCCCACTGCGGGGTTCCCTGTTCTCGGGCTCCTCCTGACCCCATCCCCTACCTCTCCTTTCACCGGGGATCGACTGGATCCCGGCCCCGCCCCCCGGGGCTGGGGCGATCCCCCTCCCCCGCCGGGTGAGGCGCTGCGGGCGGGGGCTGGGCCTGCGGAGCCGCGGGGGCTCAGAGGCCGCCGCCCCCCTCCCGAAACCCGTCCGCCCCCTACTCGGAGCCCTGGATGGAGGCACCACGGCCCCAGGGCTGAGCCAGGTAGGAGCTAAGCCGGGCTGGGTGGAGGGGGCTGCGTGGCGGTCCACTGGGGTCTCCCTCTTCCCATCTCTTTCCCTGCGCCTGGCTTCCCCCAGCCTGCTCTGTCTGCGTGTCTCCGCCTAGGGATGCTCTCGCCGTGTCTCTGCGTCTCGGTCTCTTTGTCTCTGCCTCTCTCCAGCCCATGAATGATCCTTTGAATGGGCCCACAGACCCCGTGTGTTCCCATCTCCCCCTCCCCCTCCTTCTCCCCTTCCCGGCCAAGCCATTTTCCCCACTGCAGGAAGAGGGGGGGGCCTGCGGCCTGAGCCCCGGTCCCTCAACTCTCCCCGGCTGGGGGAGTCAGGCCTGGGCAGGAATGGAGAGAGCAAGGCAGAGGGATAGGGAGAAGGAGGGGGGAGCAAGATGTGGCAGACAGAGATGGGGAGAGAAAATGGGGGAGACAGAGATAGGGAAAGGAAAGAGAGAGAGAAATAGAAGGGGCTTGAGGGAGAAATTTGAGGAAGGGATTTGAAGGAGAGAGAAGGATGAAAAACACCAAGGAGGGAGATATAGAAGAGAGAGATGAAAAAAAGACGGAAGGGTGAGAGACTAAAGGCAAGAGCCGGAGCAAGCTGGAAGAGGCCTGGGAAAGATGCTCTGAGGGAGCGCTATGGAGAGGAGAGAGATGGGGTGGGGGGGAGCTCCAGTGGGAGGGAAGAAGGGGGAGAAGCTGGCAGGGAGGAGGCCAGGGCCTAAAGTACCTTAAGGAAGGGGGGGTGACAGAGGCAGACTGTGTTAGTGGGAGGGGGAGGGGGCGGCAAGGCCATGGAAGCAGAGACCAGCCTGGCATGGGCAGAAGAGATCCTGAGGGAGCCAGCCCTAAGCCCCTTCCAGGTGATGGGGGAACAGGAGCTTAAGAGGACCTGAAGAGGGGGAGGGCATGACTGGGTGTGTGTGGTAAGGATTCCTGTGTCCTCATCTCTGGACTAAATTGACACCTGCAGAGAGCCACCCGCGGGCTGGCGCCTGGCTCTGAAAACCCCGTGTCAGCAAACAGCTCTGGCAGCTGGGGGGGGGGGGGGGGGGGGGCTTGCTGAAACGACCTGGGTGTCTGCTCCTTCAATCTGATCTCTTCCCTGTCCTGCCCCTGCTACCCTGAGCACCCAGGCATCAGAGTAGCAACTGTGGGGGGCTGGCAAGGGGAAGGGGAAATGAACAGCTCAGATGCGACAAAAAGAAAACCGAGGTTTGTCCCCAGGACATAGGTCAAAATGCTGTGCATGGAAGAGAAGGCGTCTGGGGTCCAAGGCTGTTCAAGACTGGGGGGCAGTTGGTGGGTGCATCTGATGCTCTCCAAACCCACCTCAGCACCCCTTCTCCCCAGACAGAGAGGCCTGGTCACTAGAGCTAGGCTCTGATTGGCCAACAAGGGGCAAGAGGCGGGTCTTTTAGGGTTCTCTAAGCCCCCAATCTCCTCACCCCTCAACATACATACTTCTTCCTCTATGCTAAGGTTGGGGGAAACTCCAGCGTTCTGACTCATGCCTTTGCTCTCTCTCTCATGCCCTGAATGGACCCCATAACCAAGCCAGCCCCTTCCCCTCTTCCTCTAGAACCCCCTCCAGGGTGAAAGCTGCAGCCCGTTGCCGAGGTAACATTGCGGGGCAGCATCCCGTCGCCCAGCAACCGGCTGCAGGATCACGCATCTGTCCCCGGATTTGCCCCTCCAGCATCACCTCCCTACTCTAGCCCCTGCCTCAAAGCACCTTAACTTCTGAGGGAAGAAATGGAGAGGGCCAGGGGGAAAAGGGTCCCCTGCTGCACAAATCCTTAGGGAATGGGATGTTGAAGAGAGGAGAAGGTGCTAGGCTTGTGCAGTCCCAAGAAAGACCTGAGTCTGGCCTGGGGTTGGGGTTCAGTGCCATGAAATTACAGCTCAGAAGTAATTAACACGTATAAACAAAACCGCCACTTCCTGCTAATTAATGACTTGGTATTTTTATTTTCTCTTCCTTGCCTATCTCATCCTTCCCAGGGAGGTGGGAACTGGGACTCCTGAGTCCCCTGAGGAGAGCCTGCCTGGGAGGGATAAAGCAGCTGGAAGAGGGTGTCCTGGGTCTAGGGAGCTGACCCTCCTCTGGTTCCGTGCTGGACAGTTACCACATCTTGACCCCACCCCCCAGCCTCAGACTTTTCTATTTGGGTCCCTGCTGATGGGAGGGGGGTTGTTGGGGTTGGGGAGGGGCCTGGGGGCCTGGAGGTGAAAGAAGGGGGGCAACTTGCTCTGAATTTCAAATCACTAACCACTTGTCTCTTCTGTTTCCCCTTTCCTTTCTGTCTGCCCCGTCCAATTTTCCTTCCCTTCTCCTACCTCTCCTCTGTATTTTTCTGTCCATCTGTCTGTCTGTCTGAATCTTGCATACCGTGTCCCTCCTCCCCGAAGATCGGGCCTGCCTTCACCTTCTCCCACTTCCTTCCCCTTCCCCACCCCTTGCCCCCTCCATGGAGAGGAATAGATCTCTCCTCTGTCCAGTCTAACCCAGGGCCCTCCCCACCCCCCTCCTCCCTCCTTTCCCCCACCCCCTCCTCCCTCCTGGGGCGAGGGGGGCCTCCCTCCCTTCCCCCCCTTCTCTCTCTCTCCGAGGGGGGGGTCCCAGGGAGGGAGGGGGGGGTCCCCCGATCAGCATGTGGCTCCTGGCGCTGTGTCTGGTGGGGCTGGCGGGGGCTCAGCGGGGGGGAGGGGGTCCTGGCGGCGGCGTCCCGGGCGGCCCGAGCGTGGGCCTCAGCAGCCTCGGGGAGGAGCGCTTCCCAGTGGTGAACACGGCCTACGGGCGAGTGCGCGGTGTGCGTCGTGAGCTCAACAACGAGATCCTGGGCCCAGTCGTGCAATTCTTGGGTGTGCCCTACGCTACGCCACCCCTCGGCGCCCGCCGCTTCCAGCCTCCCGAGGCCCCCGCCTCGTGGCCCGGCGTGCGCAACGCCACCACCCTGCCGCCCGCCTGCCCGCAGAACCTGCACGGGGCGCTGCCCGCCATCATGCTGCCTGTGTGGTTCACCGACAACTTGGAGGCGGCCGCCACCTACGTGCAGAACCAGAGTGAGGACTGCCTATACCTCAACCTCTACGTGCCCACCGAGGACGGTAAGGGCGCTGGCACCAGGCCGAGCACCCCGTGGACACAGCCCACAAACGCACATGCAAACCTTCAGGCACTGGCATGGCCAGGGGCCCGGTGCTGGGCTTTTGGGGGGCCGTGAGGGGCATTGTGTCCCTGCAGGCTCTGCATGCCCTCCGAGGGTGGTATGGGTGCCTGCCAGGCAGTCCCAGGAACGAATCCCACAGACAGCCACCCCAGAAGTTCTTTGTGCCCACAGAGAATCGATGGTAAGGGCAGCAGGCACTAGGCTGGGTTTACCCACCCTCTCCGCACACACAGAGTGGCCACTGAGGGTGATGAGG